ATAAGTATGATAATGGATAGTTTCTTTATAGTTATTCTTAAGTCCGGAAACATCTGCCTAGGGATAGCTGTCAGACAAAGTGATAAACAGCACGCAGTAGGATGAGATTTCTTCTTAAGCGGGGTACACACTGCAAGACAATCAATAATACAATTCCCCCTTCCAACAATCTTAGGCCAAGTTCAGATTTTTGGATGGATTCTTACAATTATCTTCCCGGTCATTCCTGTGGTGGGAGATGTGTTAAGAGGGATCCGATCTGCTCAGAAGGACGTCGAGGTTGCCCCGATTTTAAATCCTAAGTATTAACCAGGTTTAATATTTATGAAAAGTTGTGTGGGGGGGAAAGTCTGAGGGCATCCCGAACACTCTGCAGGATTGTTATGTGAAGGAAACAAATAGCCAACTGGGAAGCAGGTTGACTGAATAAGGAAGCCAAACAACTGTGGAAAAAAAACTAATCTTACTCACCTCCAGCCCACTCTCACACCGTGTCCACTTCTTTATCTTAAGTTCTTTTCTTTGGGGTTAGAGTGTGCGCCCCATGTATGGAGGCCTTGGTCCTCCGGGCGGGCGGCCCAGGTTCGAGTCCCACCTGTGGCTCCTTTCCAGCATGTCATTCCCCGCTCTCTCTCTCCCTGATTTCTGACTCTATCCACTGTCCTATTTCTCCATTAAAGGCAGAAAAAGCACAAATATAAATCTTTGCAAATAAAAAAAGTTATTTTTCTTTGTGGATTTTCACTTAAAAGTAATCCATGTTTTTGAGGTGTTTGTACATCCAACTATCTCATGAAGTAGGTTCGTAGGACATCAAACTCTCACATTAAACAGAAAAATTCCCCCACTCACAACAATTCAATCCCTCTTAACCTTTGTCAAGTGTGTTCTCAAACAATTCCCCACCATGATCTTAAATAGACAAAGCTCCACGTACTGTGTGTTCTGTCCTCATCATCATCAGCAGTAACATGTACAGAGTCACTCATCCTGATATCCACATTTATATATGAAGGCAAAATCACAAATCAGAATACAACTTTGACTGGCATTAGAACAGACTAAATACATAAATCCACACAAACCAAAAGTCCTCACAGAGGTTTTAAGGTCATATTATGATGATGTAAGTTATGTTGAGGTGATGGAGTTTTTGGCTGTCCGGCTTTGTTGATGGTTGATGATTTTGTTAAATGCACCAGTTTGTTGTTTGACAATCCAATATATGATTAAGCGGTTCTTTCTAGTAAACTTGCTAGCACATAGCCACATGTATTCATAATAATGTCCACTGCAGATTTTGTGTATGTTGTCATGCAGGCTGCCCTCCACAGTGCCTCTGTACCCTTTAAGTGGGTCTGTTCCCCACGTTTAGCAAAAGCATGTCAGAGTTTCCCCCAAGGTTTATCAGTAAGGGGTGGTGGCCTGGTCTCCTGCAGCTATATATTTAAGCTATATATTTTTATATAACGTCATGCCACCCCTGGATATGTCAGGGGCCCCAATCAAAAAGTCTGTATTCGCTCATGCTTGTGAAACTAATGAGTGAACACAAATATCTTCAATTTCAAATATGAAATAATTTGTGCCTTCCTACTGGATTGGTGGGGGATTGCATTAGGTAGGGGAATGGTAGGGGGAACACTGCAGACATCACAACAAAGTCAAAGAAAGCTGCTAATTTAAATAAAGTAATGAATTTATGGTCAAACATTGTAAAAGTAGTTTCAAAACATTTTTTTTCCCATACTAAATTACCCGTATTGTATTTTGCTGGAATGACATTCACATCAGCAGGGTCAACTATTCTAGTCAGGAATGATACCACAGCAGTTCAGCAACAGTGAAGCCACTGAGCTTTGTCCACATCCTGTTTGAGAGGCTGGAAGAAGTTCCTGTGAAGGAAAGGTCACTGTCATGTTTGGCTTCGATCCAGCACAACCAGACACTCTTTCCCAAACCCCCGCAAGCTCTGAAACAATTAAACGATTATTCCACATGAGGGGATTCAGGACAAGTAATCCTTCTGCTAATTACCTGCATCTAAAAGTGTAAAAACTGAAATCCTTAAAGACCAAGAACACTGTAGAAACGTCTCATAGTGACTTAGCCCTTCATAAAGGATCAAAAATCAACGATTGTTTCTGAAAAGTTAACTTTGTCTCTCAGTGTTGGCTCACATAGTTTCTGGTCTGTGTGCAAAGTGTTGACATGAAGACTGAGGTCTCTTGGCAAACTGCACATAGTAATGTGATAATGACAGTCAGGATGAGACTCATGATGTAATGGCATATTTCAAAGCAGTTTGTTGGGTTGAACGCAGGCCAGCGCTGGGCTGGAGTGCAGCCAGTAGCTCCACCAGAGCAGGCTGCTGCTCAGAGATCGAAGATTACCACATCGTCTATTTGCATTAGTTCCATCAGTGCTGTCGGAGCGTTGCCACACCTTCAAATAACTGCAAAGCGTTTTCCAGATCTGCTGCAGTCAGCTGAAGTCCTCATGAAGATACGTGTGTGTTTGCGTTTGTCTTCCTCCAGTCATTGAATAACCATGAGTCTGTGGTTTAAATTTAAGAGAGGAAGTGACTCTCTGAAACATGACAAGTGTGTTTGTCTGGTTGCTGCAGAGCTATAGTAAAAACAAAAAGATTTTTTTTCAGATAGTTTTGCAAATATAAAATAACTATAATATTATAAAGTAAAACAAAAGTCTTACTTTACCCCTCAGTTGGTGACCATGAGCACAAACTGGTCACTGAAATATACAAGGTCACTGTTTCTTACAATAGGCCCCACCCATCAGAATCTCGGACTGAAGGTTTTGATGTAAAATTGTATTGTGGGTAACTATGGCGATGGTTTTGACAAGTAGGAAGATCATGTAGAATAAAAAAGACCACATCTTTTTGTTCTGCTGTCTCAAATCATTTTAAAGTCGTGTAAACTTCATCAACATAAAATCACATGAATATTTTTCAACAAACTTTTGTAACCAAAGATCCTTACATTTTTGATTAATATGTCCATGGTTTTGTACGGTGGTTGTCAAGGGTCAATTGACAATGGACAAAACTATTTACATAAGGCAAACACTCTCAGAAAATTCAGAAAATGATGCAAATTCAAAAACACTCAAAAGTCTAACACAAATACAACCAAGGGAAGACTTGTTGCAAATGAGAAAAACATGCTGTGAGAAAATGAGACAATTGCAGTAACATCAAGCAAGCTGCGAATGATTTAATAATGTAAAATCCAAAACAAAAATACTGACCATCTGAATCGAGACAAATAGAGTGTTGTTTAAGGTGTGTTTGATGGGTTTGCACAATGTTAAAAGCGCATGAGCATTCCTATAAAAGGTCTCATGAACAAAAAAGAAAATGAAATCAATGAAGTGTTAGATAAATCAGAGTTCTGCAGTGCAGCTCAGACTCAGGGCGGGGCGGTGACAGGGAGCGTTTGCAGAGCAGCATGTTGGGTGCAGAGCTGCTGGCCCCACAGCAGCTCGCAGTCGCAGCTTGAACAGAGCGGCCTTTGTTAGCTGGGATGTTGGAGTCCTTGTGACCAGAGCTGCCACTCCCTTTTTGGACAGAGAGCCCGAGCCACCGGGGTGAGGGACGGGGGCACGGGGGGGGGGGGGGGCCTCAGGGTGCAGGACTTGTGGAGGTGGCAGACACCCTCCCCCCTGCACAGAGACAAGTGTCCCAGCTGGAGGCGTGAATGATCGATTACACAGCCTGTGCTCTGATTGGCCCTCTCTGATGTCGTTACCGTGACTGCACAAACACACGAGGAGGACGGAGGGGTGTGTTTGCAGGCAGGCTTCTGTTTTCATTGTTGCAACGGTGAATACTTCAACTAATGTTTTTGTTGAAGCAGAGCTGATGTTAAGAAGCAGAACGAGGGACAATAGAAACACTTAGATTCTGTCTCTGCTTTACAACATGAAGACCTGTTTTTGTTCAGAATACACATTGAGCCTTTCAATTCAAATAACTTTATTTATCCGTTAGGAACTTCATTTGTGTAAAAGAGCATCAGTGGCTCTATTAAAAGCATGATAAAAAGGTCATAAATAATTGTTATAAGCGGTTAAACGAGTGGTGTTAAAAATAAATAAGAAATAGATCATTTGTTCATGAGCCTGATGGATGTAGGAGCAGAGCTTGACATGGCTCAATTAGCCTTTCTTAGATTAAGAAAAATATATAATGAAGCCTGTAGAAACCATAGTTGTGTTTGTTGCATCTATTTGTCAATTTGTAATTCAGAAACCATGTACAGTAACATATTTAAATAAGGAAGAACTGCAGCACTTAACTTCTGCAGCTACTTACCAAGGTGCACTTTTCTGATGATTTACCTAAACCTAAACTGTGTTTAAAGATTCACTACCAAGTCCTACACAAGTTGAGCAGTTCAACAATTCAAAACGTTTGTGCTTAGAATTGCATATTTGCATCACTTTGTATCAGTCTTTTTTCTTTTAATCCTTCATTGTGAACTTTTAACATGAAAAACCTCTGCTGATCTGTCTCAGCTAGGTCAGCCCTAAAAGAATTGAGTGTGTTTTTACACTGTGTTCAGTTTTTATTTATTGGTATCTGTACGTGTGTGTGAGTGTGCAGATGGAGAAGGCCGGTGCAGCCAGTTTGAAAGACATTGCTCCGACGTGTGTTTCTTATCAAAATGCATCCTAAAAAGGCCAAGCAGAGGCTGCTGTGTAAACACGACAGGTTGGAAGTGTTTTTCTGGAGCGCGTGCCGATCCACTGCTTTTATATGACACTTCCCCAAAGTGAGCTTCATCAAATGGACTTAATGCTGCATCTAATCGAGCTGAATCGGATACTCACTCTCATGTAAGCTTATCTTTATAGGCAGCTGTAAAAAGCCCAGACCGGTCTAAACGTGTTCAGCTGTCTGCTTCCCACAGTTTGTCCTGATGATCTATGCTATAAAAGTAGTTTAAATAACTGATTGTCTTTTTGTTTCCCAGAGCGACCGTCTCCTGATCAAAGGGGGGAAGATCGTGAACGATGACCAGTCCTTCTGTGCTGACATTTACATGGAGGATGGAGTCATCAAGTGAGTTCACTGCTTGTTCCTGAAGCCACTTATATAAAAACACCAGTTTCAGTGTTTTTAAAGGTACCACCGATCCATTCAGCCCTGTAATACACACTATTGGATAGATAGATAGAGGGATATATAGATAGATAATACACATGTAATATATTACACAATAGGAAAAAGGATAAGCTATAGAAGTGTCTCGAGATAACACTTGTTGACACTATACAAATAAAGATTGATTGATTGATAAAATAAAATACATGATATTGCATGCAACACAACCTAACAGATGTTCATTGATAGGATATATTAGTAGTATATATTAATAGTACTAAAAATATATAAAACATCAGAATCAGAAATACTTTATTCATCAACAGGGGGAAATCCAGTCATAACAGTTTCTCTTACACACAATGTAGCAGCAGAAATAAAGTGATATAAATATAAATATGAATAAACTAAGGAGTGTATATACGAGAAAAAGTCAAATGTAGTATTCAAGGCAGATATACAAGAAGCAAAGTGAGCTGTTGATATTTAGTCCAGTTCAGTGTCTGCTTGTTTAGTGTTGATGTGTTCTAAAGTCTGATTGAGAAAGTAAAAGACCTCCTGTGTCTTTCTTTTGAACAGTGGGGTTTATTAAGTTGCTCTTCAGACTATCTCAGTGTGTCGTGTAAAGGGTGGGAGACCCTTTTTTAACCCCCTTTTTTAATTTTACAAACTATTAGGAAAATACCCTAAACATCTGTCACGCTCAGATTGTTGAAGTAAGATGTGTTGTCAGACAATCAGCTGCTAGATCTGTTGACAGCTAACAAACTCAGTAAGAACACATTTTACATATTTGACCTTGAACAACACAGTCACCCAATAGATGGACATTTAAAGGCTTTATATGTGATTTTTCACTCTTAAATATAATAGAAATCAAGTATATCCTCTGAAAATAACTCTGTGAGTCATGACTGTCTACAATGGGTGTAACACCCGAGTCCCACTGTCTGTGAAGTTTTCAGAGTCCTATCTTCAGTTTGTTTACATCGGCGGGACAGCCGGCTGACTCCTCCCCTTGTGTATAAAAGTTGTTTAATTGAGGGACTAGAGAAAAGAAGAATAACATACTGTACTCACTGCTTAACTGTGTTTCTAGATCACGCTCATTTCAGGTAAATTTACATGCAGTGTGAAGATACCAGCATAATAAAGATCACTAGCATTAGCATGCTAACACAACAATGCAGCGCAAGTTGTTTTGGTTTCATGCTGGTGCTCAAGCGCGACATCTACTGGATCAAAAAAATCACATATAAAAACTTTAAAAAGAAGTCCAGTAGTAATTATAATAAATCTATTACACATAAGTAAGAATATAGAGCCTTTAAACAAAGTTTTTTAAATAAAAAATATGGCAGGAGAAAATATATACTCATTATGGATTAACACAACAACAGAGATGATTTAGAGTTATTTGGTTGTAGTTTAGTTGTGAAATTGCAAATTTTTGCAAAATTCATGTTCATTTGGTTCATTTTAGATTTGTTGTTTTTGTAGTTTTCTGTTCTGTGTTTAACTACTTATTTTCTTTTCCTCAGACAAATTGGGGAAAATCTCATTGTTCCCGGAGGGGTAAAAACCATCGATGCCCACGGCCGCATGTTGTTGCCGGGTGGCCTCGACGTGCACACGCGGTTCCAGATGCCGGATCGAGGCATGACGTCTGCTGATGACTTCTACCAGGGGACCAAGGCCGCTTTAGCCGGAGGAACCACCATGATCAGTAAGTCAGCAGCGGAACGCTCGCTGTGTTTGTGTGTTCACATTTCTCATTCCTTTGGAGACTCTACGCAGACTGAATTATCTCAGTGTCTTTCCCTGAGATTGCTGTGATTGTTGATTCACTGATTGGCTTTAATTGAAATATCTAAATGAACAGACAGTACGCCAGGTCTGTTTATGCTCGAGCCAAAATATTAAAACCGTCCATCTGTTGTGAAGACTCATGAGCCACAGTATTAAGACTCAGCCAGGAAGTCAATTAACTTTCCCTTTTGAGAAAAAAATACTGCAGACTGTATTTTCTGCTTTGGGAGGAACTTACATAATGTTTTATATACATCTCTGAGGTGTGTTTTCTGCTGTCTGAGGTCGACTCGTCCGTCATGGGTTTTAGGTTACAGTCTAAAGTCAGGTTTCTCAGGTTAGCTAAACTCTAAACCATTTTACAAAAACTGGAGTTTCAGCATTTGTGCACAACTTAGCATCTGCTTCTATAGAAACTACCAAACCTCTCTGGATGTTTTCTCTTAAATACTTATTCACACAATTTTATAGGGTATGTATCTCTCTATAAATATCCATGTGTTTGCTGTGGTCTTGTACTAATTCATGCAACAGTTAGAAGATTTGGGTTCTCATAGTGAGGACCATTTTGTATCCAGTTTCTAAAGACTAAAGAGAATAATACTCACTGAATGACTTAGATCTTAAATCCTTGTATCGTAAATCGTTAAGGCTAAATCTAAAGATATTTTGTTAAACTGAAAGAGGTTTGATTGAATAAATCTATTTTCTCTTAATACCTAACCCTCAAAGTTTAGTTACATTTTATAGCCGTCTATAGCTTAGAGATAGAAGACTGTAAAAAAAAAAAAAGGTAATTGAAGCTAAATCCTGTTTGGCTCTGGGCCGTCCCTCTGCTGACTTTGCAGATGAAGTTTCTCTCCCTCGCAGTAGAACAAACACTCCCTGATGACTCTAATGTTGTCGTCAGCGTGGGTATAATGCTGACTGTTGCAGGGTCACACAGGTCTGGAACCTTAATGTATGGCGGTGGACACATTTGAACGGAATTTGAAAGAAGTTTAGAAACCGTCTGAAAGGGGACGGATGATAACAATCTGGATGTTGTTGTTGGACGTGTTAAAAATCTGCTTTGCTTATGTTTAAGCTGTATGTCCCATGTGGTCTAGACTGAGTCTGAGTCTAGGTGTGCCCCTAAAAGTTGCCTGTCCGAACACAGAGACTACTTCAGTGATCAGAGACTAAAAAACCCCAAAAACATGTCATTAAATCAAGCAAAAACATCCAAACCCCTAGATGTTTCAGCATGTTGAATAAGAGAATTTAAAATCTGATCAGTCCACATGCATTTATAAGAACTCATCTTGTGGTCCGGGAAAGTATGATGGTCATCATTAACAATGTTCTGACAACTTATTTAAAAGTATTGTTGATCAAATTGAATGAACATAATTGGAAAAACAATGGACACATGTTGTCACTTGACTTCCATGAAGCACAACTCTGACAAAGCAGAAATTATATCCACTAATACAAGTTTACAAAATGTGAAAAACAGACATCTTAAGCCCATATCGTGAATGTTAAACTGTGAGGTGAAAACCATGAGCAGATGGTGGATGTAAAGAGTCAGTAGTCATGCATCTGGTAACTTTCTGAGACCAATAGGAGGCTTCCAGCTGTGATAACATCTGTCAAACAACATAACAACATAATGAGCCTCTATTATAGATAACATCACAACAGGGTCAGGTCCAGTGTGTTGGTGGGGTTTAACGGTACATGTTTGTGTCGTGTGTGTTTTTATCTAGTTGACCACGTGATCCCTGAGCCTGGCGTCAGCCTCATCTCGGCCTTCGAGCAGTGGCGCGAATGGGCCGACAGCAAGTCCTGCTGTGACTACTCGCTGCACGTCGACATCACTGAGTGGCACAAAGGCATCCAGGAGGAGATGGAGGCGCTGGTGAAGGATCATGGTACAACCACACACAACATAAAGCCACATATATGACACTGATATTCTGTTTTTTAATCTTCTTTTTAACCTTTTTACTCACTTCTTTAACACTCTGACATTTTGTGTTTTAGGTGTCAACTCCTTCCTGGTCTACCTGGCTTATAAAGACGTGTTCCAGCTCACTGACGCTCAGGTCAGATTTGCTCTCTTGTCTCGATTCTCTGTCATGTCATTAGACAAATATTTCAATCAGGATAGACTTAGTTAAGGGTCAACAATTATTTATTTAACAGTTTAGGAAAAGATAAATATGCAATGTCTTGATGACTGAGGGGTAGTGAGGCTGACAGCAGGACAGGATACCCCCCCTGATGGAGTCTAGACACTGGTGGTGAATCACAGCATGGAAGAATGCAGGATGTGATGAGGAGTGGGTTTCGGAGGTTGTATCTGAGGAGGGTCGTAGTGATCGCACTGAAATGACAGACTGACTGCTGAAGGGAGGAGAACAGATTTTGGGGTATTTTGACAGCAGCAGGATGATTGGTTGAGAGTGGTTGTGGCAGAATCTGGGTGGTTTAGTACTTAAAGAGTAAAAGCCCCTAATCAGCTGATCATCAGAGCAGTGGAAGAGAGGGAGTGGCTAAGATGAATGAAGGAAAAATAATGAATGTGTGAGAGAAGATAAAAAAAGTCTTCCTGAGCTCCACTAGATTTGAAAGAGAAATATATTTTCTCAATGCAATTTCAGTTCAAAGGTTTGATTGCCATAAAAGTTTCAGGAACAATTTCACCAAAGCCTGGAAGTACGAAGTGATCTTTTATTTGGACATTACACAAAAACAGGGTTGAAGCATTTTCAACATTAATTATGTTAAATCAAAATCAAAGTTAGTTCTCCTTGTTTTATTAAGGTGGAAACCTGGAGGTAGGGGTCATATTAGGGCGCAATGTTCCAATCCCATCCAATCCAATTAAGATTGTATTTATAAAGAGCATTTCAAAAACAACGCCGTCCAATTAAACAATGACAGCAACTTAAAAGACAAAACGATAACTAAATTAAAGCAATAGGTCCATAAGGAAAAGAAAGGTACTGAGCTTAAAATACAAGAAATAAGAATATTAAAAGCAGACTGTGTAAGAGGCAGCCGAGCATGCAGAGGAAACACCCTGCAGAGTTCAGGGAAGCCTCTGAAGTGTCATTACAAACATTCTCACTGGACTCACTGAGATGCATCCTCTGCCACACTGAATCTAATTCAACTTGGATGATCCTCTAACACAACACTCGCTGCTTTGAATTAATCCACATCAGATGCTTTAATTGTTGTTAGCAACGTGATCAACTGTGAGATATGAGTCATGACAGCACAGGAAGGAATCAGCAGACAGTCATCAAGCTGTTTGCAGTGGAAGAGATAGAAGGAGTTTCCAAATGAACAGATGCAAGCTCAGCAAGACCGCTCGTAAAGCTAAAGATGTGTCGCTCATATACCTGCATCACATTTGATTTTATTATTCTAGCAACATTTGGATCTGAAATGTTAAGTAAAAACTTGAGCATTATTATCATTATTATTATTATTTTTCTGAATTCATATGATAAATTCATGTTATTGTAGTTGTTTTTTTAAGTTAAGTCTATCTCTTTTTATTATTATTATTATTTCCTTTCATGTATAAACATGTATATGTGCAAGAGTGTAAGGGCATGTAAATTTACATATATTTAGGTTTGTTTTAGTTTCTTTTTTAAATTATTATTGTTTTTTTATTATTTATTTGTTTTCTATTTTATTCTCTAATTCTTTATGTTTAGTCGAATATACTGTCTGGTTACTTGGGGTGGGGTGGGGGGCTACTGTGTGGGGTATTGTGTGTTGTATTGAAATTTTCAATAAAAAGTATAAAAATAAAAAATAAAAAAAACTTAAGCAAGCCAGCAAAGAGAAGTATTTCCTAAAAAAACATCATAATATTTTAGATGTGATATCACAGCTGTGATTTTGGCTCCTGCTCTCAGTGAGAGTCACACTGTGAGTCTGTTTGTCTTGGCGAGACGTCATTTCACACTGATTGTCCGAGTGTGACTCTTGGGGGAGAGTTGATGGATAACGGAGGCCACATCTCCATCCAAGTCTTTTAGTGACTCATGGTTTTACCACGATTTAATTACACATGAAAGCTGTGTAGAAACAGATCTGTGTTGCTCTCTGCACCTGTGTGAGAGGAATTCTCCCAGGCCTTTGCAACTCAGAGTTCATGTTCTCCCCGGTCAAACTTTTACAGCTCTATGTTGTTGTTCCTTTGGCTGATTGGAGGTGATGACTCACTCAAGACATCAGGTTTTTCCTTCTGAGTATGAAGTTATCAAGCAGCCGGATAAACACTCTGGGAAAATCAAGGTCATTGTTTCATTTCACCACATCACTAATTAAAGTCATCAAGGTAAAAGTTATCATCTGTTATCTGCAGATCATGTTTGTGATATAACTGGAGTTAGAATATTTATCTGGCAGGTTTAATTATGACTGTGGTTTATTGTAAACCCTCTCTGGTTCCAGCTCTTTTCTCTGATAAATATTACTGTCAATTTAAATGTAGAAAACAAGCAGAACATTAAGATTTCATCTAGGGAATAAAGATATGTTCCCCAAGCAAGAGAGCCAAGGACCATTTTGTAAAGTCCATTTACAGACGCAGCTAGACTGAATATTCTCAAGCCTAACTCAGTAGGTTTTCATTCTTACGACCTCTTGACCATAATCACCTTTAAATGAACTTTACTTTGTACAAAACTGGTTGATACATAAAATGTCATGGTCAAAGTTTCATTTGTGCATCTGCGATTTTTAAATGTATCTTCTCCTTTCCTTCAGGTGTACGAGGTGTTCAGTGTGATCCGGGATTTGGGAGCCATTGCTCAGGTGCACGCAGAGAACGGAGACATTGTGGCTGAGGTAAAACAAAAGACTCTGAATAGAGTTGTGATTTTTTTTGCTGGATGTTGACCTTTAAATAAATCTCTAGTGTCTCTGAAGATGCTGCTCACTCCCAACACTTGGCTGGCCATGTTTGACATCTGCACATAACTCATTTCCAGTTTTCCTTTTCTTTTCTGCTGTGTGTTTTTAGGAGCAGCGCAGGATCCTGGAGCAAGGGATCTCTGGGCCTGAGGGACATGTGTTGAGCCGTCCTGAGGAGGTGAGAAAGACTTTTAGCCCAAAGCACTCTAACTGACTCACCAGTTTTTATTTGTGACACCATGTCCAAATTGTTTTGACAGTGGTCATTTTTCCTAACTTCACAACCTGTTGGGTTGTTTGACAGTTTATCAATGAAGCTTCACATGTTTATGTAAAAAATCCCATTTTGAAATCCTAGAACCATTACTAACTAGAGTACATCCTTCAGATAAATCACTGTCGTTACTCACCAATAATATCCAGATCTGGCAGCAACGCAGTGCATGAAATTTGAAGAATGACTTACAGGAGCTTCTTTTGTAACTAAAGCTTCTCAGACAAAAAAAAACGTATAAAATATGGGCAAAACTTTCCAAAAGGATTTACAAGTAAGACGACAGCGTTCTCTCTTCTTGGATCATGATGTTAGTGCTTGTCATTGAAAAATCATAATCCCACCATCTCATTTTTCAGATAAATTGCCAAGGATTACTTAAGTAGTTTACCTTATTATTTGTTGCTATGGATAAAAAACAGAAAGAAAATAAAGCATACTTTGATATTGTGGGAGCTGATTTTTTTTCTGATTTTTTTGCCAAGATTTAAATTAAGAAGATCGATTGGCGTGTCTGTATCATAAAGAAAGCTACAGCCAGCAGTGGGTTAGCTTCGCTGAGAACGCAGATTGGAAAGGGGGCAAATAACGAGCCTGGGCCAATCAGATGGGACAAATACATTATACCTACCAGCTCTCGTAATACTCACCAGATAACATATGCAGTTGTATACATTTTCTAATCAGTGCAAAGACCCTAAGATTAAAAAAAACAACTTTGTTTCAAGTATTTAGATTAAACTAAGGTAACCAAACATATAAGAGTGTTCCTGCCAATAATTCTTAACGTTTAAGCATCAAGTATGAATCTGATTTGTGAAGAATCTTCCTAAAGTATTATGGTTGACCTTTTTAAAAATTATTTTCAAGTCACTTTGACTGTCTACATTTAACTGCATCTATGATTTGAGTTGGGCTGCACAGTGGTGCAGTGGTTACTGCTGTTGCCTCATAGTTAGAAGGTTTCTGGTTCCAGTTCCCTTCGGACAGGAGTCTCTCTGTGTGAAGTTTGCATGTTCTTCCCGTGCATGCGTGGGTTGGCTTCCTCCCACAGTCCAAAGACATGCTCGTTAGGTCTATTGGTGACTCTGTATTCTCGTAGGTGTGAATGTGAGTGTGGCTGGTTGTTCTGTCTCTGTATGTCAGGACTGTGTTTGACTGGCAACCAGTCCAGGGTGTACGCCGCCTCTTACCCAATGGCAGCTGGGATTGGCTTCAGCATCCTGCAGTGCAACCCTGAATGGGAAAAGCAGTGTACCGTAGATAATAGATGGATGATTTAAGTTTTAGTTGTCAAGGTTACTATGGTAAGGAAGAATGGGGAAATGATGGGGAAAAAACATAAAGTAGGGCGTTGAGATAAATGCAGAAGAAGAAACTAATGTCATTCCTGCATCTTCACACTTTGGTCAATCATCCATTCTTCTCTTTCTCCAGGTGGAGGCGGAGGCCGTTAACCGCTCTGTGACCGTGGCCAATCAGACCAACTGCCCACTCTACATTACCAAGGTGATGAGCAAGAGCGCTGCTGATGTCATCGCTCAGGCTAGGAAGAAAGGTGAGACTCCTCCTGATTATCCTGATTCATTTGTTAATTTATTACAATATAATGCCTGTTCCAAAAACTCTTTTGACACAGACTTGAGTCCCTATTTTTAGTTATAAAAATACTTTTGATTTTTATTACTATATAGAGCTAGAAACATAGCAGCTACATTACCTGCATGTATCAGAGCATGTTGTGTTATAATGGATTTAATTTCCAGGAACTGTGGTCTATGGAGAGCCAATCACTGCAAGCCTGGGAACAGACGGTTCTCACTATTGGAGCAAGAACTGGGCTAAAGCCGCTGCCTACGTCACGTCCCCTCCCCTGAGCCCCGACCCGACCACGCCCGACTATCTCAACTCCCTGCTCTCCTGGTAAGAACGTCTAACCTCTGAAAAAATCCAAATGAAAACTTTTCTATCATGATAAGTAACCACTAAGCCCCTTCTTTCTGTAGCGGTGACCTTCAGGTGACAGGAAGCGCACACTGTCCCTTTAACACGGCCCAGCGTGCTGTTGGCAAAGACGACTTTAGCTTGATTCCTGAAGGCGTCAACGGCACTGAGGAGAGGATGTCCATCATCTGGGACAAGTGTGTGGTACGTACACTTACACTTTAATGTTTCATATGAGGCATCATGTGATATGGATTCAATCATCCATGGACAGTGACCTCTGTGCTGCTCTCACTCTAAGCTCTGATTTGTTCCAGGTGACAGGTAAGATGGATGAAAACCAGTTTGTGGCAGTGACCAGCACCAACGCCGCCAAAATCTTCAACCTTTACCCCCGTAAGGGTCGTATCGCTGTGGGTTCAGACGCTGACCTGGTGCTGTGGGACCCTGACATCACAAAGATAATCTCTGCCAAGAGCCACAACTCGGTACAAACTTAACATGATTATACATTAGATGTGTGTTTGCTATGCATGTAATAGTATGACCTTTAAGGGAAACCAAAGTCAGTGTGTTTATTCTAATTCAACATATTGGTGGCTTTAAATGTTAGGTAGAGTAATGCATATGGTTGGTGTAAATGAACACCATTTTGGCTCTCACAATCGATCAATATCTGAAATTAAAATAGCTGCAGTGCATATCAGAACATGCTTCATATTCTAAAGTTGCAAATATTGGCCAAAGTTTATAAGAACAATAAAAAAGGGAGAATAAAAAAACAGTTTTACAACAATCAAAAACCAAAAAAAGAGACTGTATTGTTTTAAGAAGTTTTTAAAGATAGCTGAGCCAAACCATATAGATAAACCTGGAAGCCATGCAACTTAAATTTAGGTTAAAAGTTATTTTTAATGTCTCTAATATATCAAGTAAGCTTGTGATTCTAAACTAAACACATCATGGATACAACACAAATATTCCACTACTTTATAATAATGATAACAAATAGTACAGCAGTTTATGTAATGGAGCATCTGGTTTATTAGTCCACTTTTTGTTGTTTAACCGTCTGAATGTTGAACAGGGCGTGGGCCTCAAACAGCATCCAAGGAGTGATGTCATCCTTAAAATCTGCCAGGGTGCTGGAACACATCAATTCTGATTGTTAACAGGCAGATCACCGTGTGTGTGTGTGTGTGTGTGTGTGTGTGTGTGAAAGAGAGACTATTGCCTGTGTGTAAGTTCTTGGAATGCGTTTGCTTAAGCTGGTCATGTTCTTTGGTTTCCTTTATTCCGCTTAGTCAGAAAATGACGGATTTATGTTCATGGGGGAAACTGCTCCTTTAGAGTGTGTGTGTGTGTGTGTGTGTGTGTGTGTGTGTGTGTGTGTGTGTGTGTGTGTGTGTGTGTGTGTCTCAGGGTAGTCTGGCCTAGTGGTGATCTCATCTCAGGCATTTTGAGTCGACCAGATTGCCATGACCTCAGCTTAAGCTCCAGCAGCTTTTAGGAGAGGGTAGTCATTCGGCTTCCAAATTTGTCACATGGCAACGTCTGCTCACTAACTGTCCAAACACTCACACACTCACACACACACACCCTGACACCCAGACCACTACGACCTTTTCTATTCCTCGCTCTGACTTGAGGATTGAGGCCTCTGTGGGACTGTTTCACTGTGCCTGTAGCCTAGTGGTTAGTGTGTACACCCCATGTACGTAGGGTTTAGTTCTCCAAGCGGGTGGACTGGGTTCAAATCCAACCTGTGGCCCTTTTCCTGCATGTCATTCCCCACTCTCTCTCTCTCACCCCGATTTCTGACTCTATCAACTGTCCTATCACTAAATAAAGGCATAAAACTCCCCAAAATAGGAACCTAGTGGTTGGGACAAGCATCCCAATGTGTCACATGTACAGAGGCTGTAGTCCTCTAAGCGGATAGACCTGGTTTGAATCTGACCTGTGTCTCCTTTCCCACATGTCATTCCCGCAGTCAATTTCTGACTATCCACTGTCCTGTCTCTAAATAAAGGCATGAAAGCCCAACATTTAGCACAGAATCCAGTGAGACTCGAGGCTTTAATGATGAGAATGTGGTTGGCAAATCTCAAAATAAATGTTCCACCCTAAAAGCGTCTTGTTCATAACTACTGTAAAGGCTTCATCCACTACTTGTCGAATGTACAGTAGGATGAAATGAGACAGTGATGACAGTTTTACACCAACTTCACATTGTGTAGTCCTTAAAAACTCTTCTTTGATAATTGTTTCCATGCTATTCTTCTTAATGGGATGGCTCTAGAGAACACCTGGACGTAATATACCAGAGTTTTGAAAAACCATTCACCTGGACTCAAGGATGAACAGTTTAGATTGTGTCGGTGGAATGTCTTCGATCTCACATCCTTCTAATTCTCTTGCATGCAATATCTCAGAAACAGCTGCAGGAAATTTCACTACACCGGGTTAATGTTTATTTGTCTACCCTTCCAAAAGAACAATGCCACCTGTGATCGATTAGTTTACAGTCTCCTCTCGATCTACCCCTCACATACCTCTCGCTCTGTTGTCACAACAAGGATCATCTGACACTCACATGTCCTGCTGAGAAATGTAAGCCTGCAGTAGGTTAGGACATCATTTTGTTTTACGGCTAATGTATTCTTCCTTTGGTTAACTCTCATACTTTATATGTAAACCAAAATCTGGGCCATTTGCAGAGGCATACAACCGAGGCCAAATAGATCACTTTAAACTCTTTGTGAGGAAAATCAGTTAAGCTCCTTTCACAAGTGCACTTTAATCCATAAATGTTCTGGCAATTTGACACAGTGGAATCCTGTGTGAACACATGCAGAGAGTCCATCTCTATCAGCTAGTGCTGAGTGAGACTTTAACCAAACTGTGACCTAAAGCAGAAAACAGCATGAGGTACAAAAAAATGCTTTTTCAGATGAATCACTGTATCTCTGCTTTGAAGGTTTTTCTGTGATGATTTAATATATTGGCAACGGTGTTGGGAGATATGAGCAGTTGTTATAAAACATCACATGAGCACATCTGATGGCTGACAGACAAGAACTACACCATCTCTCATAATCAAGACACCACATGAAAATTGTGCACATTTTTTTTTTGTTAAAGGTTTATTTTGGGGCTTTTTATGTCTTTATTTTGAGATAGGATGGATAGAGTCAGAAATCAGGAAGAGAGAGAGTGGGGAATGAAATGGCGGAAAAGAGCCACAGGCTGGATTTGAACGTGGGCCGCCTGCTTAGAGGACTTTGGCCTCCCTACATGGGGCGTGTGAACTAACCACTACACTACCAGCATCCAAATTTTGCACTTATATTATATATATAAGTATAAGGCAAAATGCTGCTAAATTGAAAGAGATTGAATAACAACACAGCACCTCACTGAAACATACTTACAATGTAATATATATTAATGGATATGATTTATAATACATGATCCATAATTTAGTCTGAGTGATAATTTAGAAAATGTATTCTCATTCTTGAACAGACTTGGTATTGCATTTGTTATATGATAGATATTCAAAGAGAAAGCTACACCTTAAATAACTGAAAGCTAGCTTAGAAATGAAAGATTGATTTTAATTTAACATCTGGCTGCAGTACAGTGATGATACGTTGTATTATAGGCAGTATTTAACTCTGACGCCTAGTGTTTAAAATCGGTACTGCAATCAAAATTCAAAACAGAGAGGTCTGTCTCCCCCCGCCCCCTTCTCCCTATAGAGTCCTTGCACACAGGTTTTCATTGTGGAAGCTTCAGTGTTTATCCAGCTCTGCATCGGTCTTGAAACCTTTCTGTGTTGTAACCTCTCTCCATTTTTCAAAAACATCTTCAATATTTATCCTAGTTTTACCACAGATCTGGTCGTGAAGCTCTTAAGATAAATGCTGAAGCTTCCAACGTTGCAATATCTGTTGGTTTGCCATTTGCCGGGCAATCCTGGGGGCATCTGAAATGGCTGTGTGGGGGGGTGCCTTAAAACTGCTACCTTGTCTTGTTCAAACAAATCCAGAGCATTCAGGAGCAGAATCTAAAGTTAGAAGGAGGACATACTGGCTGCTGCTATCAGAGAAGCCAGCACTTAGACATAGCATGTTTCCTTAATGTCTGATCATATAGTAAGGTCATTTAATGATTTAATGCGGTAGATATCTTACATATTGCTCTTTTACTTGATAAATACATTTGTTTTGGTATGTATTCATTGGTGCTAGGCTTGCTAACATACTTTTCCCTTCTGTTATTTAATGGGACTGCTCTCCTCTACAGACTGTGGAGTACAACATCTTTGAAGGCACAGAGGTGCGTGGCGGGCCTCTTGTGGTGATCAGCCAGGGCAAGATCGTCTTGGAGGAAGGGACCCTCCACACCACTGAGGGCTCAGGACGCTTCATGGCCCGGAAACCTTTCCCTGACTACGTTTACAAGAGGATAAAAGCTCGCAGCAGGGTACAATACTGTTCTCATTTGATGTAGTTATGCACACTATGGAACCAAAATTAAATGAGTAATATTAATTTTTTAACTGTTGCATGCTGTTTCCTCAAATCCAGCTGGCTGAGCTAAGAGGTGTACCCAGAGGACTGTACGATGGTCCTGTCTGTGAGGTGTCAGTTACCCCAAAAACTTTGACTCCTTCCACCTCTGCCAAGACCTCACCTGCCAAGCAGCCCAACCAGCCTGTCCGTAACCTGCACCAGTCTGGATTCAGCCTATCTGGTCAGTGCAGATGACAACCTTTATTTTGCACATGCTTACTCTGGAAACTTGAAATGATTCATCAAATGTAAGGATTTGTCTGTCAACATGATAAAATGGTTCAAACCAAGGCTTACAAACACACATCATGAAATATAATGTGGACGCTTTATTCCTCTTCTCCTGTGACGGGCTACTACTTGATTCCACAGACATTCATAAATTGAGCTAAGGTTTGCTAAGGTCACTGTTAGCTTCACTTTGCACACAATTGCATAAAGAGCAGCATTCATGACTTCCTTTCCACACCAGCATTGAAGATTGACATTTTTGACCAAGTAAATTAATTTCATCAAACGCGCCGGAAAAAGAGATCCTCTCATGGCATACACACTTGAAATCAATGCAGAGTTCAACTTAGATCAAATCTGAAATAGGATTCCTCGTTTGTTACGTACCGTCTCTTTTCCGGGCACAGTTTTTTTAGTCATACACATAACAAGAACATGTTTTAAAGGTCTTCAAGGGTTAGTATCAAGCATTTGGTATATATATAAGATATTTCAAATACAAAGGATCGAAATGGACTCAAATTGTCCCTCCTATCTCCTTTCACTATCCACTTTGCCTTAACCCCGGGGAAAATGTCATGAGGTGAAGGAAAGATGTTAGGAGAATTCATAAAGGATTTGTTTGTTGCTCTGATAATCCGACCACATTTCCACTAGGTGACGTCATTAAATGCGACGGGCCGGCGGAGGTTAATGATGTGGGTCTGCCGTGGTGAAACTACAACGTTCCGAAAATGGACTACAAAAAGATAATCTAAAAAACTTTCCCCTGTGCCTTCTTACCGGTGAAATAATCCTAATTACCACAAGGTTGGGATTGAAATAAAAACAATATAGACTACCAGGCTACAAGTAACAAAAGTGAAACCATCACCTTTCGTAAAGGATGGTCCAGTGTATCCTAAAGGAGGTTATAAAGGAAGCATTGACCCACCTTTCCTTAAATTTTAGAGAATTCGAACGGCTCTTATCATGGCCGCCACTTAAATGCTTCCGGGTCATTTCACTCAGTTAGAAACCTTCCTAAGCAAAAATGACAATTCGAACGCACCCTATGTGTCCTGTCAGGAGTTTTACAGACTTTTTTGCAAGGAGTTTAAGTTAAGTTAATAGTTAGTTGGGATTGATATTTCAATTGTTTTATGTGGTGCAAAATTGCTCTTGTATATTCTGATAGAGATGAATTTAAAAAAAAGTTGGTTATTAAAGCAACGGTGCAGAAACTAGCTTGTTTGTTCTGCAAGTAGGCTAACTAGCTTCTTTGACTACATGTAATTCAGACAACAGAATAGACAAAATGTCAGTTTCTGGGATGAACAAGACTAGATTCAGTAGCATAAATGACCCGTAATAGAGTAATGAATGCTAAACTGACGTAGCCAACCTTCTGTTTGATCCAACAGGTGCTCAGGCTGATGACAACATTCCTCGCAGGAACACCCAGCGCATCGTGGCACCACCTGGTGGCAGGGCGAACATCACCAGCCTGGGTTAGAGCTCCATCCTCAGCTGCAGAGGAGGGAAACAAAGCTTTGAGGAAGGACGTCCTGAAGGAGCTGAGAGGTCGAGAAACCCTGTAATGAGACCCTGGAGCCGAACTCTTCACAGCCCCTGGAACGGACATCTGTCAGCCTCGAACTTTCACCTCCTCCTTCGCAGCTTTTCCACACACCCACTCTCCTCTCCAAAACCTGATCTTAGAGGACACAGTTAGAAACAAAAAAAAACAACAAAAAAAAAAAAGGTCTGCCTCTTTTGATGGAAAAAGAGAAAAAAATGAAAACACTCCTTATTTGAGCACTTTTGATTATTTTGTTTTTTTATACTGTATTTTTTTCCCTGCCATGTGTACTTTTCATGTTTGTTTTACTGTTGTTTTATAGAGGGATCAAGTGAGACTAAACTGAATTATTACAGTTAAGAAAAGTGGATGATTTCCATGCAGAATGTCGGTTGTATTTCCAGTTTTTGTTTTCATCGTAGGAGTAATTTAAATGGAGCGTGGGTACAAAACGAGTATTGTTTTTCTTGCTTTTCATTAATAGGCCGAGCTGTCGGTCACCTGAGGTTAAACAGTCTCACACCTAATTCCTTTAACCAGAACTTCCTTCAAGCTGTTGGCTTTCTGTGACTGTAAGTTGCATTGAATTTGCTACACACGCCGATGTCACTTCATCTGTCACACACAGCTACCCAAATTACTAAAAGAAATGAATGGGCTTTAGATTTAAAAATATGTAACAAAACAGCAATCCTTCATAAGGGTTATAAACTCTCACTGCACTGGCTCTCATGTAATGTTTTCCCAACTGTGGCTGTGCAAAAGTACAAAAGTGAAAAACCATACTTCATATTTGGCAGCTGCCTTAGAGATGTGAGTCTCATAGAGCAGGAGGAGCTTTGGCAGGTATTTAACAGAGCATTTCATTGCTTTGCATCAGGGTACAGTCAAGCGGAGAGAATTGAAGGAAAGATCACAAGAGGAAGAGGAAGTTGTATTTGGTGTCATTTCAAACTGAACCTTTCCTTGCCTTATCTCTTAACGCCATCACATTAGAGACGTTTTTAGAAGTGCAAGAAAGGTGCCATAACTACGCAGCAGTCTTATTTTTTCCAGCTTCTTTTGCATTCCTGTGAGTCATAAAAAGGTCCAGCATTTTTTTTTGATTGACAGCTGCTGAAGCACCTGACAACCGCTCATCACCAAGCAGTGCATTTACACACAGAATGTTTCTCCTCCTCCACATGGGACTGTTTTATACTCATCTGAACTCCCTCTTTTCCTTTCTACTCTTTATGTGCCTGAAACCCACAGAAGTTGTACTGATAGTTAGATCTTTTCTTGTGTTATTGTTCTTTTTGAGGTAAGTGAAGGTTGTAAGATAAAAAGATGTAAAATAGCCAGGATTAACCGATTCAAAGGTGCCAGATTTTGCGATTTCGTGGGGCCTATTCTGTCGGTAGAGCCCCTGTAAAGACGAAAAAACGCTCGATATCTTGAAATGTTATAATGTTTTAGAGTTTTTAACTTGTTGTCAAACTGCTTTTTAGTGTCATTCTGTAACTAGGTGCCTAAGGGCTGAGCACTATTGATTTACGCTTGAAAGTAGACATGAGCTAATGTACTTCTGACTAGTGTTCAGTGTTGATGTGTGAGGGATGGGACACGCACGGCCGGCTCCTGTTCTGCACTATTTTCTGTTGTGGACGGGACGTCTCCCCCGGGCTGAGCCCTCATGAGCTCCGGTTCCTTTTTGAAGGATCTGGTTTTCATTAAGCCAAGCATCTGATTTCCTCTGTTAGTTCTTGTGTCAACAAGGTCTTGGCCACCAATCACCATATTTCTGCAGCCCCCCCCCCCACAGCACAGAAAGGCTCACGCTAACACAGACTTAGCCAGGGGTCGGTTACATAAATGTACAGTAAGTCTGGGCTATATTTCAACCTGGCCTTGCATTCTTTAGACTTGTATGATGAGAAACAGCTCCTGCATAAATATTTTCACACATATTTTAAGTCAAAGGATTGTTAAAGACCCACTTCTTGTACTAGCATAAAGATAGCTTTAGCTTGTGTTAGCTGATGGAAATGCGTCGTTGTCACAAGGTTTAGGTTTGGCATTAAATGAATACTGGCTTAAAATTAGATCATAGTTAGAAGGTTTAGGGAGAAGAGTAAGCTACAGTATTTCTAGTCTACTCTTTATGTAACTGGCCCCTGGATGACTCACATATACATAGATACATATATAGAAATAAAAATTACCCAGCACCTTGTTCTCGAGCTTTTTTTCTCCCTCTGATTAACCTGGAAGCGTAGAAGGTGAACTCTGTCAGCGTAACAAATTGTACATGTATTTAAAGAATCCAAAGACAGAAATGTAACAAATGCATGTCTCGGAGGCGTTCAAAGATGAAACAGGATAGGAATGGGAAACTGGAACTTGACTAACATGGCAAATTACACACCACACAACAAGATTTTTGAAGTCATAAGTGAGGGATTAGATCCCTTTTGCCTGGGTGATGCTTCCGTCATCTCCCTTTTTTAACATTGTATTGATACTCCCAGCTCATTGGAGCTTCCCTCTCTTCTTCTACACACAATCTACACACTTCTCACTACTTTTACACTAACTTTGGGTGGGCATGTATACGGGTAAAGTCCACAGACACAGATAGGCAGCAGGCATAGCCCTCATGAGAGTAAAGGCATGCTTGTATATTCCTCCTCACTCCTTCCTTTCACTTTCCTTCTGTCCCTCCCTCCCTTTTGCTCTTTCTCATTTTCATTCATGCCCTCTCTCCCTTGCCCCCCCCACCCCCCTCTCTCTCTTCTGGCTCCTTTGTTGTTTCTTGCTGTTGCCATAGTGACAGACCCCTCCACTCTCGCAGGGTTCTGCTTTTTTGTTTGTCATGGCAACGCTTGTCAGATTGGATGTTGCTACTAGCAACCCATCCTGACCTGGCGCTATTAGCACACACACACACACACACACACACACACACACACACACACACACACACACACACACACACACACACACACACACACACACACACACACACACACACACACACACACACACACACACACACACACACACACACACACACACACACACACACACACACACACACACACACACACACACACACACACACACACACACACACACACACACACACACACACACACACACAGGTTTTTGTAATTATTCTATTTAATCCTGTGCTGAGTTGCTTAAAATTCAGAATCCTCTGCTGCTATGAAAAGAATCTATTAGCAGTGAGAGCACACAAACACATACACACATCACACACACCAAACCCGTTGCAAAAGAAATGAGTGGGATATAAAGAAGAGCTCCTTCTATCCTCGACGTGTCCCATGCCTCCCCAATCACTCAGACACACACTTATACTCCTGTAATGCTCTGTCAGCTTGGATGCTTTTTCTATGCCATATTATGCTAATGATATATGAGTGATATGTATGTACGCACCGTGCTGCAGACTGAGAGAAGCTTACTTCTGCTCTGAGGTTGCTGATGCTGATGTTGAACTCCGTCTTACCCCTCTGAGAACCTCTCGTCCCCCCCCCCCCCCCCCCCCTCTCTCTGTAAGCCCCCACCACCCCCCTCCCTTTGTGAAAGTGAAACTGTGTGATGGTATTTGTCTCGGTGGCTGTGGGGTTTTTGGGATGCTTGCTCACTGTGGAAAATGTGTCAAATCCCACAAATGGTGATGTAAAAAAAACAACAAGGATTCAAAGAATAAAAAAAGAGGAAAGAAAAAAGGGAACAGATCTGCGTCTCTTTTGTTGCTGACTTTGAGCTGCCAGTAAGTCATGAAATATAGACACAATAAGAAACAAACACAGAAACAAACAGAAAAACATGACAGCTTCACTAGCAACAGCATTTGTGAGTGAACTGACTTAAAAATAGTCTCTCACTTATTGAAGATGACATTGGCCTGCAGAGGACGGCTCACTTGTTAAAGAAAATGTGAAAGAATCTTCTAACATCAGAAGCTCAAACTGAATAAAACAATTCCTTATTAAATCTGTCTTAATGAGGGGATTTTTATGCAGGAGCTCCCTCGTGTAGACATTAAACATCCGTCTGTTATCAGCTGCGGTGTTTTACTTCCTGGTATAAAGTCCAATGAAAGATCAGGGATTACCCTGAAGAAGGCCAGCAAGAGAACAGTGCAATGTGTTGAACATAGACGTATTAGTTGTTTAATTTGACCATAATGATGTGAAATGCAATGAATATAATGGTAATACTGTACTTATATAGCCTAACACATTTTTAGTCTTATGACCATTCAAAGTGTTATTTTTGTAAAGATTTATTCTGGTTTTTTTGGGGGTCTTTGTGGTAGAGATAGGATAATGTATGGAGTCGAAAATCTGGGAGAGAGTGAGTGGGGAGTGTCATGTGGGAAAGGAGCCACAGGTTGGATTCAAACCGCCTGGAGGACCACAGCCACAGTACACAGGGCACCTACACCACTACGATCCACTAAGGACCCCCTTGAAAATGAGATGATGCATCTCAAGGGGCTATCCTTGAAATAAATTACAAATTACTACGCTACTGGCACACCTCAAAGTGCTTTACCAGTACTGCTCACATTTACACATTCACAAACACATTCATACACTGATGGCAGAGGCTGCTACATAAAGTGCCCATCTGTGTTATTTACACACATTCACACACTGATGTGCCCTTGGGAGCCATTTGGGGTTCAGTGTCAGGAGCCAGACATCAAGCCGCAAACCATTAGATTGAGAAATGATCTACTCTACCACTGAATCCCAGCGGACCATAAAACAAGTCATAAAGAGTGTACATAAGCTATACTGTATGTTTATGTCTATTTGCTTGTGACATCAAAATGTTGTGAAAGCATGGTCATCATACTCAGGCGTCCATCCAATAGGTCGAATGTTGAGTGAGCATCGCTTTTTAACATCAAGGCAAGGCAAGTTTATTTCTGTCGCACATTTCAACAACAAGGCAATTCAAAGTGCTTCACACAAGACATCAAAAGCATCATGACAGAGGAAAGAAAAGAAACATTAAAATAGAACATTTAAAAATCACTGAAATTATTAAATCTGAACATATGTTCAAATAAAAATAATTCAATGAAATTAATTGAAATAAATAAAGTATAAATATAAAAAGAGTTAAAAGTTACAGTGCAGTACAGTTAAA